AGAAGATAGGTTTGAAATTTATCTAAACTTGCATTTCTTGTCTCAGAGAACAAAAGGCATTTACGTTAGCTGTGTCAAAGTTTTCACAGTGTGCTTTAGCACCATCGCGGCAATAATTCTGGAAAGCAAATCCACTTGCTGGATTAGTTTTTATGGCAACAGCCTCTTTAATGATGAGGGATGCCATTCACTGGTGTGGTTTGTGCAGATTCTATCTTCAGAGACACTACTGTACCAATGCTTTATCAACAGCAATTGAATCATTCCTCAGAAAATTTTTGTATAGTGATGAACAGACCGTTTTTACACGTGACGGACAGACTTCTGTGAATCGCTGGAAGGAGTTTCTTCTTGGACATTTGCTGTTTTTTTTCTTGCTTGAAGCAATATTCGTGATGTTCGCGTTACACAGGTGCAACGAGCTTGTGTAAAAGTGATTAGGAATTCTGGATTGGATCGCACGTATCAATGAACAAAGCTGGCTTTTACAATCATAACGAAGAAGGTCTACATAAGGATTTCTAAGCGCGCAGCAGACTCTGAAATAGAAAACCGAATATTGGGACTGTTGGTGGCTCAGTTACCACTCGTCCAGAAAGATATGAATTCTACTTAGTACCGCCACGGATCTCCCTCACACGGGAATCTCATGTCGGTTAGTCGCTAGGCTACGTGGCGTGTCCTCAAATGAAGGATAGGAGGGTTAATTGCAGACCAAAAGCTTTCCTGAGGCGCAGATGGATCTAGGAGGAACACTTCCTGTTTCTGATGCGTCGATTTGGCAAATACCTTCTGTATTTACGAGGGCGTGTTCATGCATACGTGCATGGGTGTGTTCTCGTTTATGCGGATTGTATTCTACGAGTCAATTTGGCAGTAAAATAGTTCAACACCCCTGATCCCGAAAGAGTCACCGATTTAAGCAACGTTGAATAGAACGAATACAAACAGGCTGCCAAAATACCAGGCAATTTCTACGATTCCTAAATCGCAAAGGACCAAGGTGACGATCTGTACCCACAATGCACGCACACTTGCGCCTGAGTCCTCGATAGAAGACTTGATCATGGAAGCAAGAAGGATAAGGTACGACGTCATCGGCCTAACTGAGACACGAAGACGCCACCCTTTCAACGCCGTCTATGACACCGGAGAAAAACTGTTCCTCTGAACATGAGTAATCGGCGTAAAGTAATCGACGGCGTCAGCGTTCTCGTTAATAAATGAATTCGCTGATTGAATGAATGAATGAATTCTAGTTGAATAAATCCTCGTTGATAAATTAGCATTATTCGGCTAACGTTTCGAAGTCTTCGTTTTCATTAGAGACATCTTCACAATGGAATAAAGATTATTTATCAGCCACATGTAGGCTTATCAAAGAAAGAATGCTTGTTAACCATTAATACCAAGGTTAAAGGAAAGTCGGTTTAGAAACACTAACAACCAAAACTGGACGGTTATGACCGAAGAGATGTGGGAGAATACCGGCTTCGCAATGTTGACTTTTATTTACTGCCTTTTACACGTTTTCATGGCAGTATGTTATTTGTGAAACAACCGCAATGATGCTGAGATACTCGCAAAACTCCGGACCGAAGGTGTCTGCGGTGGGGAACGAACGCGCTATTACCCTTTCCGGGGACTAACGCGTTCACCAGTCCCGTTGACGGATGATTGCTGATGACAAAGATCGATAGAACTGGCTTAGAGAGAGGCGAAACGAAGGACCCGCATGGTATGGTGGTGAACTGCGTTAACCCCGGAAAAGGTAATAGCGCGTTCGTTCCCCAACGCAGACTCCTGCGTTCCGGAGTTTTGCAGACATCTCAGCATCATTGTGGTTGTTTCACAAAAATCGGCTACGACAATTTTCGCCGCTTATGCACCGACATCGAGGTATGCATGACGAAGACAAAGCCGAAACATTCTGTTCGGACTTAGAAAAGCTCTGCACACAAGACCACACGTTCTTTAAGGCCATCATTGGCGATTTTAACGCTAAAATTGGACCCAGAAGGGCGTCTGAAGATGTTATATTGGGATCCACGTATTAGAATGGAACGAGTAGTGTGAGCGGTACTCTGAGTTTATCATAACGACGAAGAAAAATTCATGGTTACTAGAAATTACGTAAACCCCACCCTCAACGCTGGACGTGGAAGTCTCGTAGTGGAGAGTACCACAACGAAATAGACCACATCATGGTAAACCGAACGTCATGTCTAACCGATGTCGCTGTTGTCCCAAAATTCTACACGGGACCAGGCCACCTCCTCCTTCGTGCAAGATTCCATTTCTCGCGGAAAGGAGAAAAAGACGCTAGATTCAAAAAACGAAGTTCCAAAATCACCATAAACTGGGGCTTATTCAACTCACTAGTCGGCTGTTGGGAGATGATGTTGTTGATAACATCGACGAAGAATACGATCGGCTCATTCAACGTCTTCACGTTAGCGTTATGAAAGCTGAGAGTGCGAAAGTCACCAAGAGACGTCTGTCTCCAGAAACTCTCGAGCTGATATGTCAGCGCGGAATCGCATGAACTACAGGTAACCGCAACTTCACGTTCGTATTTGCAAAACAATGCAAACAGGCGATAAAACGAGATGTTGAAGAGAGAAGAGCAGTAGTCATGGTCGAAGCTGCAGAGGCTGGGAAAAGCATTCGCAATGCCTACAGAAGCTTCGTCAATTACAAAACGAAGATGATATGACTGCACTCCGTTTCAAAAAATGAACACCCTACTCTGTGCCCTCTCGACTCCACGATTCTTCCTATCTTAACGTCTGCGTCAGAAACCTGGTCACTGCGTTAGCAGGATGAAAGGTCACGCACCGTCGTAGAACGCGCAGTCGGAAGGAGTGTACGAATATCCCATGTTATACAAACAAGTGAGAGAAGTGATCTTAAGCTCTGTCCTACGTCAACGATCAAAAATCGAAAATGCCGTTCTACACGTCTAATTGTCAAACGTAAGGTGGACCGGACACTTAGTGGGCATGAACGATATGATTCCTCGAGATATCAGACGTACTGCAGGAAGATCACCGACGCCATGGTTAGAGTTCTTCATGAAATGTCCAGAAGAAAGATATGATGCTCGACGAGTCCTTAGAGCGAGCAGATCCCACTGGGCTACTCTTGCACGCGACAGAGAAAGTGAGAGATTAATGACACGCGCTCGTGTCACTCGATGACCAACAAGACGGCAGGTGATACAGGTTATTGTTAAGCTCAGAGGAGGGTTCATAAATTTATATTATGGCTATATCCCTATGTCCATGAGTTCTTCAGCGTGGGCAGGGATTCGAATCGAGTGTCCACAGATGTTTGTTTCTGAGACGAAAGTTTTCCATATCCCACTGAATAGAATTTATTAGAAAGAAAGACTGAAGTGAATGGGGTGGCCTTATCTCGTAATAACTTTTATGTAAGGTGGTTGTTCATCTATTCATCTATTTCATGTTAAACCATTTCTATGGCTTAAGAATACGGTTGGATACCAAGTCAGTGTTTCTATCGACATAGCCAAGTCTGGTATCAATTTGTTGAAACCACTGGTATAGAAAGCTAGGTAGTATAGGACACAAAATCGAGCCAAAGACCACGTGTGTGTTGCAGATCACTTCTAACCACTGCGCAACATGGAGCGTGGTATTATTCTAGGAGCATGTATGGCTGGAATTTATCGTCAAAGTGTTAGTAGTTCCAAATGTCAGCAAATTGACTACCCACAGCATTTATAGTCGTCAAATGGTCTGGTTCACCTTCAAAAATGTGTTCCATCGGAGTTAATACATTTACAGCGAACACATCAGACAAGTTTACCAACACATGACGTTTTTCTCACGTTAGGAAACTGAACGACCCTGCCGCTTATTATAAAATATTTACGTAAACAGTGAAATTGATGTTGTATGCATAAGAAGCCGTAAAATTAATTTAGAACTGTGTGATGCCAATGCTATTTGCAAGAAGTCTTGGGAACTACCGTCGTTTATGAGACATTGTTTATCACTTTTCTATATGACGATGTATAATATATAATCTTATATTTCAATCTGGCAGTTATCTAAAAATAAATCTATATGAGAAACATCTCAAAATACGGTAATGAACTTTTTGAACGACGGCTTTACATGACGATTCATGATGATTATATTTACTATCATGAGGAATATGTTGCTCCAATTTTAAAAACTGCCAACATTATAGAATGAAACCACATAATTTCCCACACGACTGAGCTAACACGAGGCTGGTCCAAACTAATCTACCTAGTAGGTAACAAATATTGAGCTTGGTAAACTAGTATTAAGATATTGTCAGCTCACATAGTTCCTATAATGGCTTGAGACCCATGAGAAGCCGCGATAGCACTGCGCAGGAATCCTAGAGCTTCTCCGAATCCTAGTTTTTCTTCTCGAACCGCCACAACGAACATTATCATATCATTACAACTGATTCTCTATAAATCTCATCCACGCATGCAAAACCTGTGACTATGAAGGCATTTTATACAAGTAATCTCCAGATGAGCGCGTGTGGCGCAGTGGTCGGAGGCCCTATGCAACTCGCACATGGGATCGGTCCACGCGCCCATGGCTCACCAAGCCTTCCATCTACCAGGGGTCGGCAAATTGGTACCAGACTTGTCCGGGAGGATAGCAGCCCCGGTTCGACACATCGGTAGGCCACCGCTTGTCATTGTAAAGGCCAGATATGCATCCAATAACCTCTAAAGGATGCTTAACGAAATCGATTGCGTGGCGCATCCCTCAGGGATTCATCAACGCCAAGAGCTCTATCCTTTCATACTTTAATCTCCAGTTGCATAGGAATATTATCGTAGTGTGAAATTGCACCCATACTATAATATTCGTTAACAATATTTTGTACCTGGACCTTTTATGTGACAATTAGTTCAATCCGAAATCATGCCTGAATTGCTGAGCACTCAATAGTACAACAGGTGAATTACTCTGAACGATGGACTTTCAAGGCCACTCTTCCTTCACATTCAAATCTTCTCCTCCTCCTCCTCCTCCTCCCCTCTCTCTCTCTCCCTCTCGTTCTCTCTTCTCATCTTCCATTACTTGGGAGTTTAACAGAAACTTATTTCCAAAACTTGTCATGTGATGAAGCTTCAGTGCCGCCGTGGCTTAATTTGCTCACAATCACTGCTCTGTAAGGAACTTTCACTTACAGCTATAATTTCCAAACTTGACCGGACCTTACAATTAATTCTTGCTTCAGCCCTTCTTGTCTATTGTTTTCCTTGTCCTTATCCATTTTTCTCATGTTGCAACAGCTCTTGTTTCACTTCCAGTAGAAACTTCAAAGAATTTGTATACTCACTCACCTTGTTCATTTCTACATTCTACTCATCATTGAGATCTAAGCATATGGTTAACATTGATCTAACAAAAAATTATGCCTTATAGAAACTTTTTAGCTAGTGTATGCACTGAACCTACAGACTCCACGGGAGCATCCATAGATTCTTTGATAAATAAAATATGGGTACTAAGAGGATCCAAAAGACAACAGTCTCCGTCACTGTTGACAGAGGAAGGTCCATTACTGTACTTAAAACGTTCACTGGAATTATGGAAATGCCTTGCTTTTAAACTGTGGTGCATAAAGATTTGGCAAATTAGTTTACTTAGCTCGTCAAAGACCTAAGCATTTACTTACTACTTATTAATAATTTATAGAGAAATCATGAAAATAGTTCTGATTTTATGTTTCCAACGTCTCGGGCCTGTCTTCAATAAACTTTCGTGCTTTTTAGTGCATACCATGCTACTACTTTAAATCGTAGATCTGGTCCTATATAATTGTATATTTATTACACAATGTTAGCTCTATAAAGGTCGTAATCTAGGTGAAATATCAAAGCTGTAGTGGTCTTGGGGGAACCTGCTATCAACGAAGGCCATTTGAGGTATAAAGGACAAAGGATAAAGCTTTCGGCGTTGATCAATCCCAGAGGGACTCACCATGCATTCGACTTCATTAAGCATTGTTTGGAGGTGATTATGGCCTTTACAATGGATATCTGGCCTTTACAATGACTCGCGGTAGCCTACCGATGTATCGAGCCAGTGCTGCTGTCCTCCAAGACAGGTCTGGTACCAATTTGCCGATCTCAGAGGGATGGAAAGCTTGGTGGGCCATGGGCGCAGAGATCGATTCCATGTGTGTGTTGCATGGCGCCTCCACCACTGCGCCACGCACCCATTTGAGGTATGCAATAAAAAAAACAGTGGAGAAGTATGTGAAAAGCTTTACGAAGTAATACAGTAATTTGGAGGAACTCTAACCGATTCAAGAAGTCCAAAAAGAAGATCGACAGTCGAATGGTGCATGAACACAAGGAACGGCAGGGAGATTCGCATTACAAAGTCCGCTCCGCACATTTTTTTATCCAATAAAAACAGTTTTTTTCTTAGTCGGAGTGTGATTTAGGGCTGAAAGTGAACTCTGAACAACAAGTGACGATATCCTGCCCAAGCACTAAAGTAGAGAATTTCTTGAGACGAACTAGATGTGTAAAATCTAAAAGGTAGTGAATATTCACAACACTAGTTTCCCTATGGACTGCTACTCTATTAAACATATCGACAATGACCAGCTCTGAATATCCTCATAACCCAATCAAAGTTCACTATGAATTGAGATATGGGCATTTGAAGTCCAAGATGTGAAATCTGTATTAATTTTGAGAGAAACTAAGTTTGGTAGTTGGCTCTTAGATAAACCGTCTTCACTAGAAATCGCGATGGTCCGTGCGTAACTTTAGGCTAATTTGTATTTTTCTATCTTAACAAGAATCTTCTTCTTCAAGTGGCGAGACCAATGTTCCCAAGCACTCCGATCCAATGAGAACAATGCTGAGATTTTTGTTAAACTCAGACCCAGGTCAGATTCGAACCCTCGATCACCCTTTCCGGTGCTCACATGTTACCCTCTGCATCACTGAAGCCTTTGCTTCACCTTTCTCGGCCTGGGGTCTGAGTTAATTTTGAAAATATTTCAGCGTCATTCTGGTTGTATTTCCCTGCCAAGAAACACTAATAGGCAGCAAATAAAAAGGTTATATATTATGAGGTTGTCATAACAGATAGTCGCGGGCATTTGTGCATCGGAGAAGCTTTCCACTATACAACGTGAACTCTTCTAAGATGGCCACGCTTCCAGGGATAAGTTTACTCTCAGTTAAACTTCAGAGTGGAAACGTCGAAACGCTGAACTGGGGTATCCATAGCGACAAATCAATCAACTGGTCATTATGTAAGCAAAGAATTTCGGAAAGAATCCTCCAAACTGGAGTAATTCCAACAACCGACTTTCTGTGGCTCCGACTTCAAATTGGTTTCAAAATAGAGACGTGTAGGTGTAAACGAATTTCTTTAGAAGCATTACCAAAGTGAAACACACTTCTCTATCTGTCCATTTTGTAATGGTGCACACCTTCTGCACCAAAACTCATTTTACCACTACGTGGACAACTATATTTGGTGAAGCAAAAACGTCGGTAGTCATCAGTCAAATATACGTGTCAGCTTCTGAGGAATGTTTCCTCTTTTAGGAGACATGCGTTCAGTAGAACTTTCACGATACTCGCTCCATTTTTTCCTTTTCCTACTACAAGTAATTTAATGGAAAACGTTTTCCTGAATGGTGTTCAGGATTCCGAAGTTGTAGCACATACAGTCACAACGATGATGAGACATTTGCAAAACTCCGGACCACAGGAGTTTGCGGTGGTGATCGAATGCGCTATTATCCCTTCCAGCGACTAACGCGTTCACCACCACACCATGCGTGCCCTTCGTTTCGCCTTTTTCTTGGCTAGATTTCTATTTTAATAAGCAGTCAATAAAAGTTATACTTATAGCACATAGTGTCCATAGAGATGATTTCCGCGGTCAACAAGATGAAACCACTCACTCACTTCGTTCGGGAAGTTTCCAATAACATTCCACTGCACTACTATATGTTCTTTAGTCCGAAGTGATTATGACGGAGCGGCAGCGCTGCAGCGAGGTCACAAATGCGCGCCAGCGCACGTATTTGGGACGCGTTTTTGCAGAATGAAACAACTGCGGCCATGTGTCGTCAGTCGTTCGAACACGAAAAGTTCGTAAAATTCCGGACGACGTAAGGACACACAGCATCACAACGAAAGTCCATTGAAATCATGCCTAACTCGTCGGAAATTCGGTGATAGAAGACGATATGATCTATACAGCAGCTGTCATGCAATGACAGTATGCATAGCCTCGTAGCCAAGAATGTTTACTTAATCTGAAATAATCTGATTTAATCTTACTGGCGGTCCTGGTTGTACCGTGAAAGTTTTCAACTCAACATTAACCAGTAATCGCTCAGTATCTTGTATAATGAAACGACCCTCATTACTACAGCAACGTAGATTTTTGGGGCAAAATTCGGAGATGGGTAGGACTATGATTCTGTATAACAACAAATTTCGTCGAGAATTGGTAGAATTGTGAACTGCAAATCGATTTCTACGAATGTCCCTCAAAACTGCGACGGCGGTCTGCCTCCGTCTCGTGTCGTACTATATGGATTGTATGGGCAGGTTCTCAACGTTTTTTGCCACTGTCCTGGGAACACGTATATTACATGTACACAATGTATATGTACATATATGCACATACATGTATACATCTACACATACATAAGATCTAATGGTATACCATCTCCCCTTGCAGGGTTTCACGTTGCATTGCAAAACGCCACCTAAGAATAAGCCAATAAATCAATGCAATCAATGTCATGGACCTCCAGTGTTCTAGATGGGTACAGTGGCAAGGTGGCAAAACCTCTCCAAAGGTCACCGACATTCTGTCGTGGTGACCTGTGAGCTTTGCGCACAGATCTACCGACATTTCAGGTGGAGCGTTGAAAACGTTTAACATAATGTCTCACCTCATACTTGTAGGACCTGCATTCAGGGATGAAGTAAAGATCTCTGTAGATGGAATATTTGAGTTTTAGTGTAGTGTGGATTTGAATCATTTATTTATGTGATCTTATAAACTGATCTTCTTAAGCTGACGCGAGGTTGGTACAGATCTTCGTGTCGTTGTCGTTGTCGTTGTTTTTGATGTTATTGAACGATGGCTGACGTTCCGGCGACTTCGCCTTCCTCAGAGCCTGGATTTGAATCTTTCATCGATGAATGCACGCAAAGGGGTGGAAGATACCTATGCACCTTATTGATTATTTCCATGTCTAATGATCGAGTAAAACTAGAAGCTATTCACAACTGAGGACGGATTGCTTTCTCTTCCATGTCGTTGCGGTTTTCTGACTTACGTCCCTTAATGAAGATTCTCCTTGACCGATGATATTAATGTAACAAATCAATGTAACAACTTTTTTATCTTAATTTTAACTTATTATTTATTGCCTGCTCTTTTTAACGGTAGGGTATATATTGCGAAATATAACATCAACGATGCTGATATATTTGCAAAACTCCGGACCGCAGGTGTGTGCGGTGGGGAACGAATGCGCTATTGTCCTTTCCGAGGAGTAGCGCGTTCACCACCACCACACCACGCGGGCCCTTCGTTTCGCCTCTCTCAGCAGGACAGAAAGGACAATAGCGCATTCGCTTCTCACCGCATACACCTGCGGTCCGGAGTTTTGGAAATATCTCAGCACCATTGAAGTTATATTTTTTGTCTTAGTTCTAGAGAGATACCGACGACCCACAGAGAAGACCTCCCATGGACGATGGGAGGGAGTGGGAGAGGAAGAGGCTCCACAGATGCGTTCGGACCGACCAGTACCGATGTCGGCGATGTGAAGCTGAGTTGGCGATCCGCCAACATGCCTAGCAGGAACGCGATCGATTCCTATGTGCTTCCGGAACGTCGGCGAATATTCGCGAACGTTTTCCTCTCCGTCACGGCACTGTTGTCTCACCATCACCACCACCACCACCACCACCACCACCACCACCACCACCGCTGCTACTGTTGTTGTTGTTGTTGCTGCTGCTGCTGCTGCTGCGTCATTCGGTATATCGATCACTGCGGACATCTTTGGAACGTTGCCAGACGATCGATTCATTCAGCGCTTAACCGTACACTATTCATACACTGCTAACCTTCTCGGGTTCGCTAAACCGGTCCCTAATTGTTGGGTTCCACATTATTTCATGCTAGTTGTTGATAGTAGAAATTACGAATATTGGAGATTTCCATCTTTTCCATTTCACTATGACGTACGGCACTCGTTTTTTGTACTTTCAGTTTGTTAGTGATTTATGTGTCTTCCTTTCACAACACTCCTGTCGCAGTGATAAATAGCTGGAAACTAGAGATTCCTGGCGGCAGCCCGTTTGATAAACTTGGCAGAATTTTGAATGAATGGCCTCAGCCATTTTTTCGACGATACGAAAACGACTGGTGTCAAGTTTAGCTCCGATCGTTCGTGTTGTTTGAAAATGAGCCGAACTAATTACTCTGGAATGAACCAGTTTATTTCTGCAAATGTGCGCCAACTTGTTTCACCTAGATTTTTGCTTTCTTTTGTGTCTACGTTCTTTCAAGGTGACTCAATGGCATTTCACTACGTATATGAGCTTCAACTTAGTATATGGCGCGTGTAGAGCAGTGGTTATAGGTGCCCTGCAATACGCACGCGGTCGTTGATGCGATTCCATGCCAGGCGTTTCTTACATTCCTCTGGGGCCGGGAAATGGATACTAAACTCATCGGAGAGGATAGCAGCACTATCTCGATTCATCGGTAGACACCGCGAGTTATCGCATAGGCCGGAGGCGCATGCAGTCACCTCTGACGATGCCTAATGAAGTCGAATGCAGGCGCATCCCTCAGGGATTCAGCGATGCCGAAAGCTTTCGTCATTTTTATGAGCTTGAGCGATCAATGGCTGTGGCGTACGGCATACTGGGGCTGTGCAGCTTTTTTGAGCGCGAATTCGGGCACTGAGCGAACAATTAGCCGTGTCGAGTGCAGCAGACACATCAATCCAGCGTTCGTAGTGCATCGATTGTGGTATGTTGAAGCGTGTATCTGTGTGTATATGTGTATATGTACCTGTGTATACGTGTGCGCATGGGTGTGTGCGTGCGTGTGTCGATGAAGTACTAGAGCGACATGCCATATATGCTAATGTTTACTAGTACAATCGACATCAGTGAGTAGAGTGGCCAAATGGTGGAGTAAATCGAACGGAGACCCAGAGCATTAGCGCCACGGAATCGGAGCCCATCCGGTGCAGTCGTCCAGCTGGCACGCCGCCAATGAGTCGCGCCGCTCGCCGCAGCGTCACGAACACTGCGTGCTTTTCGCAGCGATTCTCTCTCGCTCGTCCACAGCTCTCGTTGTGTTCCTAAGCATGACAAATAGCTTCTGTAAAAGTTGACTGTGCATGATTTAATATCATTCTGCAACTTCGATGTTGTGTTCTTCGACTGGCAGAACTGAGTAGTGGTTCATGTCGTCCGCCCACGACAACCATACCAGTCTGGAGCCCTAGTCCTATTCAAATTCGTCGTGGTACGGCGACTGCGCAGACATCGCCAACACGTTGCGCGAGGGCTGGTACTTCGTATCAAGTGGCTCTTTTTGTTCTTTTTGTCATCAAATGAGGATATCTTATCAAAGCCGTTATCGCAGAATTCGACTTTGTACTGTTTTGAAGTAAAATATCTGAATTCCCCAACGTTGTAAAACTCAAGAGACAGATAGGCCAAAGTTCTGTAGAATTTCCTGCAGAATGGGACAGGGGACGAGGGGTGGAGTTATCTGGGTGAGCATGTAGTGATTATTAAAGGGCTATCATTTGCATACAGCGATAAATAAAGCATAGCAGAGCGCAGTATTTCAGAAATGTTTCTAGCAATCTATCCTCCAATTAACCAAAGGTCATAATATCAGTTGATGATAGGGACGACGTTATGTTTTCCATGCACCTTTTTCCACACCTCTTTCTATTTTAAGGATGGTATTACCGATTATGTAGTGTGTGGAAGTCATCATTAGTAATGCCGTCATAAAAATTGCGGCTGTGTGTTCGAGCCACAATTAAAACCATTTAGCTTTCAATTTGAAGTCGATAATGATCTCCATGGTTTACCCTCTCTCTATCTCACACTAGGTTGAACTAAAGTAAGGCGTCCGAAAGTTTCTATCCGGAAGCTTAGCTGGTACTAAAGGAATAGCTGGATTCGCTGCTCTCCTGCAGAGTGGTCCTTGTCGTATGGTAGGAAGTTTGTCTTCGATCCGGGTGAGTTAGTGAGTATTTGTGATGACGAACTAGGTCCCTGTGATGCGAGAGAACCATCCATAAACAGTTTAAGTGGGAATTGTGCTCAGATGCTAGCGATTCTGTTGAAGACGTGCTGTTCGATATCGTTGTGTTAATTTCTTCTTGTACTTTTAGTCTAGTTCTGTTTCGTAGAAGTCCTTTGGTGCTTTCGTTGTCGCATTGTTGTAATTCCCCTTATGCTAGTTGGTGCACTGGATGCTCACTTTAGTCGTAATTACTCGAAAGTAGCTCGGGTGTTACTTGTTTATGCTGTTGTTTTCAGAAGAGCTAATGAGTGTATTCCTCATAACTTTAGCCAGATAATTGGAAAAATTGACTTTCAGTTAAGATCTAATAGAATTAATAGACAGGTCTTGTTCTTACAAACTGTTCTTGATAGGTTAACATGAGGTTGTTCCCACGTATTTCCGTTTTCAAGGGTCAGCGATTCTGTGAGTTTGGGTCCTATTTTCTTCTTTCTTCTTCTCCTGACTTCTACTTCTAGCTTGGACTATTGTTATATAGCGCAATGTTTGTTGAACATTCCATAATTTTAATGAGAGGTTAATGTGTTTGGCAAAATAAACCAGTTAGATACTAGTTGAGAACTATTTTGTTGGAGACGTATGACTCGTCTTCACATATCGGGCTTGTCGCTGGACTTGGATTTGCTCATTGTCTTACACGATGGCGGTTGGTTCGAAATGATGATCTGTCATCTTTCCCCTCATTGAAGCGTTCACTGCTCAGGTTCGATTTCCTGGGAATTCTGGAATGGTTGTGATCGAGGGTTCCTTAGTGTTCTGTGCACCCACTCAATGGCCCTTGTGGATCGCAAGCTGTAGCGATTCTTCCTACGGCAGAGAATTCGACGATTAGTTGGTCGATCGATCGATCCACAAACCAAATCCATCTCAGAAATTCCAAGATGCCGTTTTATATCTAGCTTTGCCTTCATTTTTTCTACAGTGTCTGTCTAATTTTAGGCCTTCCTTATTTAATAGGCTAAGCTTTGGTTTCTCAACTTTGTCTTAATTCCCAGTTGCAACAGAAATACATGAACACTTGTGCATACCGTTCTTTTCATTTACTAGAGTACTAGGTAATATAGGTCGTAGAGCTATGCCTCATTAGCAAACTTGGAGATTACCTTCACTGATGTGCCATGATACCCTTATGCCATATTTCACTGACAGCCATCAGGGAAACCGGCATTTTCTCAAACTAACTGCTTCGATAGTCACTGTATCAAGACATCAAGGAGAATCAAGGCTGAGGTTCTCAGGGTTAATCAGCAGATAGGAAAGTGATCGCCTCTCACACATACATGGAGTACAATTTGTTGAAAGAGTTTGAAGAATTTAAATGAAGAACTATATTATTAGTCTATCCACGTTCGACGTACGTTAGTATAAAGCCACCTTTTTCGTAAGAGGTGTAGGTTTTCATTGTGGTAAGAACTTTATGAAACTATTCATTGTGGTATGATGGCACTTCTCTACTGTTCTTGACTAACTGGACAGAGATCCATGGATGGGCTCTGTCGTGGTATAGGGTTGCACGTAGCTTTACGTCGTGACGAAATGACGAACTCCCTGAAGAGTGGATAGTTATAGTGAAATGATGAAGGAGAAGCTCTATAACTCTACCTCTTGGGTCGGCACACACAAAGTCCCTGGCCGACAACGTCGCAAATCCTTTGTTAGGAATGATTCTCTTCGTGTCTCTTGATTGAACATGTGGAACACACTGAACATTCCTTTTCACGTCAGGGACAAGGGAAGTTTCTTGATAACCGCTGGGCGTGGTGATTCACGGAGCAGCGGATGGTTTAGGTTATAGACAACGGACTTAAGCTCACTAGTTTATCCTTTTAGACCTTATTTTTAATCTGCACATGATTATATTTTTTTGAAATAAGGTATTAAAGGAGTATTTTGGGTTAGTTGTTCAGATATGGATGCTGTACAGGCGTCCTTCCGAGTGTTTCCGCTTACGTGGAACTAGGTTTGAAAGAAAAAGTCCAGGAACCACTATGACATTAACATTCTGATAAATAACATGTGTCATCGTGAAAAGCATTGCATATAACTCCTCTGAAAGCAACGACACTAGTTTTCCATCGTCGACTTCATTTCCTGCAATCTGACTAGTGTTTAGTTGTGTCCACTCGTTACTCGCTTTCAACAGTTCTTTCTTTCGTTGTACGTAGTCGCGGGAGCGCAAGTTTCTCTTAGTGGTTCTATGTGAAATCGTTTGTTCTGTTCGTAGGAATTATTATATTCGTTTTCCTTTAATAAAGGAATCTTATATGGGTAGCATTAAGAGTCACATTTCGTCGCATGAAACCCATGGGATTATGAATTTGCTTAATAAAATGAAGTTTGTACTTCAACACTTCATCAACGATTATCGGGAGATGTGTGATTAAACGGAGAGCGATACAGGTGAATACAAAGGATGATGGCTTCGTAGTTGAGTGTAAAGGCGGAGGTTACATTCTTGTGACTTGGCGGATTTATGAGTTGGACACATATGTGACAGTGCAAACCTACAAAGTTGAAGAGTGAAACCAGATGGTTTGAACATTCTTGTAGAAATCGTGGCAGATTAGTCTGCAGATCACCGACATAGTGCACAATTTGTTTTGTGTTCATAACGTAGCTTCGATGCAGATTACATGTTCCAATGGAACAAATCGTATTTAGAGGCTTATTTTTCGATTAACTGGAACAAGACAGTTCTCGACTGGCACCTAACCGTGC